GAGGAACCTCTGTTCTGCTGTTGTTGGATAAAGTAGTCTATAGATGTCAATTATATTCAGTTGATTACATGGTGTTTTGGAGTTCAACTATGTCCTCACTGTTTTTCTGCCTGCTAGATGTGTCCATTTCTGATAGATAGGTGTTGCAGTCTTCAACTATATAGATTTATCTGTTTCTCCTAGCAACTCTTACCAGTTTTACCTCATGTCTCTTTACACTCCGTTATTAGGCATATGTACATTAAGGCTGTCTTCTTGGAGAATTGACCCATTTATCATTATGTAATGCCCTTCTTTATCCTTGTTAAGTTTTCTTGCTCTAATATCTGCTCTGCCTGAAATTAATATAGCTATGCCTGCTTTCTTTTGATTAGTGTTGGCATAGTATATTTTTTCCATCCATTTACTATTAATCTTTATGTGCCTTTATATTTAAAGTGAGTTTCTTGTAGATGATATATAGTTGGGTCTTGTTTTCTGATCCACACTGACAGTCTCTTTTAATTGGTGTATTTAGACTATTGACATTCAGAGTGATTATTGATTTAGTTGGGTTTCTAACCATATTTGTTAACTGTTTTCTATTTGTTGCCTTTGTTCTGTGTCCTTATTTTTGTCTTCCACTGTTATAACCTTTCACGATTGTAACTGAATGACTTATATGATTCCATTTTCTCTCCTTTCTTAGCATATCAGTTATGCTTATTTTTAAAAAAAATTAGTGGTTTCCCTAGAATTTGCAGTTTTTTAAGTTTATAACTAACCCAAGTCCATTTTCACATAACACTATACAGCTTCATAGATAGTATGAGCACCTTATAATAAAATAATCTTAATTCTTCCATCTTGTCATTTGTATCATTAGTATTCATTTCCCTTATATATACGTATACATAAGCATATATATCATATATACATAAGCATACATACATAAGCATGCATAATTAAATACATTATTATTATTTTGATATTAAATCAATTAAGAAAAGCAAAAGGTTGTTTTATTTTCACTTATTGCTTCTATACTCTTCCTTTTCTTAAGAAGGTCCAATTTCTGACCTATATTGTTCTTTCTCTCTAAGGAACTTCTTTAAACATTTTTTGCAAGGCTGGTCTACTGGCAACAAGTTTCCTCAATTTTTTCATGTATGTGAGAAAGCTTTATTTCACCTTCACTTTTGAAGGATAGTTTTGCAGGTTATAGAATTCTAGGTTGATAGTCTGGGTTCTTTTTTTTCCCTCTCAACACTTTAATATTTCACTCCATTCTCTAGTTTGTATGGTTTCTAAGGAGAAGCCAGATGTAATGCTTATTTTTGTTCCTCTGTACATAAGATGTTTTTTCCTTCTGGCTTCTTTAGGATTTTTTCTTTCTCTTTGGTTTTCTGCAGTTTGAAAATGATATGCCTCAGTGTAGTTTTGGGGGTTGGGATTTTTTTTCTTTTAGGGGGTTTTTTGACATCTATGCTGCTTGGTATTCTCTGAGCTTCCTGGATCTTTGGTTTGGTATATTAATTTGGGGAAATTCTCAGTCATTATTGTTTCTGATTTTCTGCTATTTATTTCTCTTTTCTCCTTTTGGTATTCCCATTACACATGTTATGCCTTTTGTAGTTGTCCTGTAGTCTTTGGATATTCTTTTCTGGGTATTTTTGTTTGCTCGCTTTTCAGTTTTGGATGTTTCTATTGATATATCCTCATGCTTAGAGATTCTTTCCTCAGCCATGTCCAGTCTACTAATAAGCCTGTGTATAAATTTATATTTAGTGTCTAAATTCTGTATTAAATGACAAGCTCCTTGAGGGCAGAGTTTGTGTTTATCTTTGATTTCCTTACAACTCCTAGTAGAGTTCTCTACAACAAATAGGCATAAATTTTATTAAATACAGTATATCATATTCTGTCATATGAGGTATGATATAATATGTGCCACAAGGCTGGATGTGGTGGCTCACGCCTGTAATCCCAGCACTTTGGGGCGCCAAGGCAGTGGATCACCTGAGGTTGGGAGTTCGAGACCAGCCTGACCAACATGGGAAAACCCCATCTCTATCAAAAATACAAAATTAGCCAGGTGTGGTGGCACATGCCTGTAATCCCAGCTACTCAGGAGGCTGAGGCAGGAGAATAGCTTGAACCTGGGAGGCGGAGGTTGCAGTGAGCCGAGCCGAGATTGCACCATTGCATTCCAGCCCAGGCAACAAGAGTGAAACTCCATCTCAAAAAAAAAAAAAGTGCCACACAAAAGGTAGAATTAAATTACTAGATACTGTGAACGTCTACTAATACTGTCTCAGTCAAATGCTTAACTGCATTTTTGTTAGAAATGTATGTATCATTTTTGGTCGACTCCTTGGCCTGGATCTCAACCCAGGTTTTTGAAACAACACTAAGCAATCCTATTAAAATTCTATAAACTTAAGCCTGGTTTGCTGACTACGTTTATTAGCAGATGTGGTGACTCATTCTGATTGAGTCATAGAAAATAGTACATAAAGCCTTTGCCTTTATGTACTAATGACTATGACTAATGACAGTGACTCTCCCTAATGACACCAAAATTGTACAGTTGACCCTTGAACAACATGGGGGTTAGAGACACCACCCGCTGTGCAGTTGAAAATTTTCATGTAACTTTTGACGCTCCCAAAACTTAACTACTGTTAGGCTACTGTTGACTGGAAGCCTTGCCAATAACATATACAGTCAATTAACACATATTTTGCATGATAAATGTATTGTATGTTGCATTCTTAAAGTTGTCAACTAGAGAAAAGAAAGTGTTATTGAGAAAATCGTAAGGAAGAGAAAATATACTATTTACTATTAGGTGGAAGTGAATCATCATAAAGATCTTCATCCTCATCATCTTCACATTGAGCCTTTTTCCCTTGCCTTCAGTCAATCTCTACATACCTATAATAAGTTGGAGTGAAAAACAGCCTCTAGGGTATTAGGTCTGTATGATATATACTAGGAGTTTTTACACTTTCTCCTTGGGTGGCCAAAACAATAGGATATAGCATTATAAGTATTATCTTTCAGTAATCTAAATAGTTCTGCTTCTGATTGGGTATGTTTGTTTTCATTTTCCTCTAATCAAAGGAGCAATGCCTGCATGTTTAAAAAATAACTTGGCTTGGTAAAACACTGTAGCAGTCTACACTGACGTTCACCAAGTATTTTCAGTTCCCTTTCTGAGTACCTGGTAGTACTGTATATCCCTTCCTCCATTAAAGTTAGATATGGTCATGTGATTGTTTTGTCAGTGAAATGAGACCAAAATTGACATGAAGCTTTAAGAGCTAGTACATGTACATAATTTGCTATTTTACCTTTATCCTGCTGCAAAAACTGTAGAAGCCCAGATAGAGAGCCTCCCTTAGCCTAAGTTCCTGAATGAGGACAGCATAGACAGGAACTCCCCCAACTGCCAGTTGACCTGCTTATGGACATGTAACATATTTTATGCCACTAAGATTGGGGAGTAATTAGATAAGCATAACCTAGCTTATCCTGATAAATATAGCCTTCACCCCAAAACAGTGGGCTTTGGTAGTTACTAAAGGAAAATAAAAGATTCTATGTGCTAATATTGGCCTAGTATTTCTTTTTCTTCATTACAGAAATGTTTATTGTACACAGCTTATATAAAATGAATTCATCTCAAGATGATTAGAGTCATTCGCCATGTGTCAGAGTATTTTTCTTTGAATTAGAATCTTTGCTTGAGATATTTTATTTTATTTTATTTTATTTTATTTTATTTTATTTTATTTGTTTTTGAGTTAGGGTTTCATTCTATTGCCCCAGCTGGAATGCAGTGGTACAGTCATCATTTACTGCAGCCTTGAATTCCTGAGCTCAAGCAGTCCTCCCACTTCATCCTCCTGAGTGGCTGGGACTACAGGCATGTGCTACCATGGCTGGCTAAATTTTATTTTATTTTATTTTTGTAGAGATGGGGTCTCGCCATGTTGCCCAGGCTGGTCTTGAATTCCTGGCCTCAAGCTATACTCTCACCTCAGCCTTTTCAAAATGCTGGAACTATAGGCATGAGCCACCATGTCTGACTGAGAAATTTTAATATGCTTCTATAAGATTCCTTTCACCTGCCAATGATAGAATTGTAAATTTCTTGAAAGTAGTGACCATCATTCATTTTTGCATTTATTCTTTTATTCAACAAACTTTTGTTAAGTGCTCATTATTTGCCAGGTGCAGAGTCAAGGAAGATGTTCAGGGAACTCTAGATAGTTTGGTAAAACTGGCAGAAGGCAGGCAGGGGCCAAAGACTGTAAAGCACTTTGTTAAAGTCTGGAAGCTTTAACAATTTCATAAATTAGCTATACTTCATTTTAAAATAGTTTATCCACATTTATTACTTAATTTTATAATGCCATATCCAAGGTGACACAGACCGAGTTTTAACACTTCCGAGACCACCAATACATTGTATTTTACAACTTAGTTAACTCCTTTTTACATATCTTAGAATAAAGCTTTTTTTCTTCTATCAGTATCTTTTAATTTCTCCAGTGCACCAAGTGCCTTCTCACCTGGGGGCCTTTGCACATGCCATTTTCTTTGCCTGTTTTCCCTTAGTTTGGGAAATCACTAGAGGTCATTTGTACTGAAATTGTTGGTACCATCTTCATAGAAAGGAATATATTTGTCTATGTTATATTGTTGTGCTTTGGGAAATCTACCAGTAAAATTAGAAGTTTTTTTTTTCTTCTATAACTAATATAAACATTAAGAAATAAGAAATTAGGTGCTATTGGAAAGTTTAATTATCCCAATTCTCACAGAAAAAAATTTTCTCATCACATTGCCAGGTGGTTTCAAGCAACTCTTATTTACAAAATTGAAGAGCTTGAAAGCTAAGTTCTATTTCTGGTCTTTATTGTACAAATCTAAATACTTGTTGCAGAGACAGTGTGGAAGAGTGACGTTCCCTTTTTGTTCTCTCTCCCATCACCTTCTGCCTTTCCCTCTAGGGATTCTTCAGCAAGCGCCTGAAAGGCTCCATCAAGAGGACCAAAAGTCAGTCAAAGCTTGACAGAAACACGAGCTTTCGGCTTCCATCCCTTCGCAGTACAGATGACAGGTAGGAAGTTAACTTTCTTAAAACAAAAAAAAGCAGTTTGAGAATGAATTTTGTTAAGGCATTTTGGTCTGTTCTGAATTTCAATCAATGACAAATAGAAAAATACAATAAAAAATTGACTTTTATGTCACATTCATATTAAGGCAAGATGCAAAATACTGACTCAAATACCCAACCAGTTTAAGAATCTTATAATATTGGAGAGTTTGTGGATACATAAAAACTAATTTCAGGGTCAGTTAAGCTGTTTCTATAGAATCAAGTTATAGTGGTCAAAGGTGTATCTTTTGTTTTGTTTTTGGTAGAATGGCTATAAAGAATAATGATGATGATAGCTAAACAGTTTTAGCACTGTCACAGAATGCTTCATACATGTTATCTTGTTTCATCTTTATAATAACCCTATATGATAAATACTATTATTATCACCATTTTATAGATGAAGAATCTGAAGTACAGAGAGGTTAAATAATCTTGCCCAGGGTCATACAGCTAGTAAATAGCAAAAATGGTATTTGAACTTGGGCAGTTTGGCTCCATAGTCTATGCTTTTTACTGCTATGTTCTGTATGTAAAGCATATTAAATTGGCCTTGTTGGTTTGCAATTACATCTAGAAGACGTGTGCTGAAAAGGAAGCCTGGATGGATTTCAATAATTAAGACGATTAGCTTGAGTAAACCTCAAATATATAGCTCCCTAAGGATAATATCCTTCAAAAATCATTGAATGTGTGCTGACACATTTTTGACATGTCATGTCTCGATAATGTTCAGAATTTTGGAAGTAGTGCTTGTGGTATCAGCATCAGCACATCGTCGCTACCACCAATATTTATTAAGTACCTATTCTGTGCTACACATGTTAAATGTAGTCTCTCATGTAATACAACAACCCTAGATACTATTATTATCCTCATTTTATAGATGAGAAACTGAGGCATAAAACGTTTGAGAAACTTGCCCAGGGTCACACAGCTAGTAAGTAGTAGAGCTGGGATTTGAACTCAGGTCTGCCTCTCATATTTGATACTCTTATTTATGTTTTACTTTTTTTTTTTTTTCTGGTAAGTGACTGTTTTTCACTTATCTACCTAGAAAACAGAAATAAAATTATAGATTTGCCGAGCAGATGATTAGTATCTTTGTTTTGTAAATGAAGGAACTTGATGGGGGACTACTGCTTTATTAGCCCTTCTTGAACTACATTAAAGGTGCTCTGTGAAATTTGCAAGTCAGCCCAATTTGCAGTATATTTATTATCTCTTTTATACCTCTTTGTTTTAAGGTAATCATAAAAAATATTTTTGAAATATTTTTCTTAGTTTCCTATTATTCTATAATTTTCATCATTCCAGGAATTCAAAGCATTTTATTAATGTCTCAAAAAATAGAATAACAATTTTTTTCAGATTATTGATTCTTAAGAACAAAGACGTTGTGCAGCAAATAAAACAGTCCCAATTCAATAGCCATTTTCTTAAATCCTGCAGCATCATATAGAAACTTGGGAGACAAGTTTTTTTTATAAGTTTACCTTATTTTTTAACCTTGCACTAAATATTAACTTCTTTATTTCAAACAAAGGTCTCTCTCCTATTTCATTTTGTTTTAGGTTGCCCATGGGAATTGTTTGACTGAATTACCAAGAGATCATTTTCTCCCAGAGTCTCTTGTATTTCTATTATATGGTTACTGTATTTTTAGCCTTTCCAGTGATCGAAATGTATTATTTGTGACTTTTATGCTGTTATGCTTTGATCAATAGCAAAGTCTTTCTTTCTTAAGTACAGCACAATAAAAAAGTGGTAGTAAATCTCAAATATTAAGTAACCCTTTTAATTTATCAACTCCATTTGAATTGCAGAGATTTCCTATACAGAAATTTTTCAAAAAACTTTTTCTTGTATAGGGATGTACTCAATGTAATTTGAATGTGTTCCAGTTTTAAAAAAGACTCTCTTGCCTTCAGATCGTTTGAACAGTCAGATAAATAGAGCTAAGGTACAAGATACTCATCAGCTGAGTTCTTTGAATTAGTGCCCTTATAGGTGTAACCAAGTATTTTCTGAAGACCTCTGATTTTCCTGGGTCAGATGCATCAATTGCTGAAGTCAGCCACTTCAAATCTGTTATACAGTGTCTAAATCTAAGTAGCAAAACATTTCTATTCTTTTATCCAATCTGTGGAACCTCCAGTTAGAGGTAGTAAGCAGCTCTTTTTTTTTCTGTTTTTAAATTATAAATTAAAATACTCACTTGTCTTTGTTGTTTTGGAGGGGGAAAAGTTTCAGTATGTAAATAAAAAGAACTAAAGACCCTCTTTATCTTTCCTATCTCCCCACATAAATAACCTTATTAACAATTTTTATATTTTCAACCCTCTTTAAAACTCCATACATAAAGGGAACCCAAGTATATGTTTCCATATTTTAATATAAATGGGATCATATTATGCATATTACTTTGTGACTTCCTTTTTAGTATAAATATTTTGTACTCTCCATATGTCGGTAAATGTCAGTCCACATCATTCTTTTTAACAACTGAATATTTGTATGCTACAGTGTTTTTATAATAATGTACGTCACTTCTCTATTGATGGATATTTACATTGTTTCCCTTTTTTGATACAAAATAGAGATGTCATGAACATTTTTGAACATGTGCGTTTTTGTACTGGTGGCTGGGTTGGATTTCAGAAGTAGCACTGCTTGGTATAGAGTATGTACGTTATCAAATTTTCCTTCAAAAAAGGACCTTTCCCACCAACAAATTAAGGTTACTTTTATCCTTCAGACAACCTTTTCCATTTTGTCAATATATTGAAAGAATAGAAATAATAAACACTTATGTAGTATTTATTATGTGACAGATATATTCTAAGTACTTTATATAAGCTACCTCATTTAATCATCACAACCACCCTATGAGATAGTCGCTGTCATTACTCCTATTTTGAAAATGAGAAAACTGAGACACAGAGAAATTCATAAGTTGCCTGAGGTTATAGAGCTTGGATAATGAGAGAACTGAGGTTCAAACCCAGGAAGACTGGCTTTAGAGTCTGTATATGTAACCTTTACTGTATATTACCTCTCTAAAACATGGGACGGGGGGGTAATTTCTTTGTTTTAATTTGTATTTTGATAATACTTAGTATACTGAATATCCTGTTATATGTTTTCTTCTTCTGTGACTTACCTGTTTCCTTTGCCCATTTTTCTGTTGAGTTGTTTATCCTATTTCTTATGATTTGGAATAGCACTTTTTATTACTACGGATAGTAAGCCACTACTATGCATGTTGCTAAAAATTTTCTCCCCATCTGTTTCTTGTGTTTTAAAATCATGTCTTCAAGTTACATGGAAGTTTTCAATTTTCCTTTCTCTGATATGTCAGTCTTTTTGGGTGGGAAGCGGGGCTTATCTGATCAAATTTGATCAGAATACTGGACTCAAGAGGTGAGGGACCTGTTTCTTATTACATTCTTCTTTATGATGCTGTGCAAATCACTTTATTTTTCCCTTCTTCAAAAGGGAGAAATATTCTATCTGGAGCAATCCAGAGGATAATGAAATAGTGGACATGATATTTTGAAATTTTCAAAGTGTTGTGTGTGTGGTTTTGTTTGTTTTTGTTTCTTCTGTTTTTTTTTTTTTTTTGTTTTTTGTTTTTTTTGATACAGAGTCTCACTCTGTTGCCCAGGCTGGAGTGCAGTGGTGCAATCTCAGCTTATTGCAACCTCCACCTCCTGGGTTCAAGCAATTCTCCTGCCCTAGCCTCCTGAGTAGCTGGGATTATAGGCATAAGCCACTGCCTCCAGCCAGAAATCTTCAAGGTTTTTGAGATAAACCACAAAGCTTATCTTCACTCATAACATTTTTATTTTTATTTTTCGAGACAGTGTATTTTTCTGTCACCCAGGCTGGAGTGCAGTGGCACAATCACGGCTCACTGCAGCTTTGACTTCTCAAGCTTACTTAATCCTCCTGCCTCAGCCTCCTGAGTAGCTGGGACTACAGCCACACACTACCATCCCTGGCTTATTTTTATACTTTTTGTAGAGATGGGATTTTGTCATGTTCCCTAGGCTGGTCTCAAGCTCCTGGGCTCAAGCGATTTGCCCGCCTTGGCCTCCCAGAGTCTGGGATTATAAGTATGAGCCACCATGCACAGCCCTCATATTTTTAAAAGATAAAATTATTCTCAGGAGGTCTGAGTTACCACTTTAAGATAGCAGAAAAACATTTTTAAATCAGTTAATTTTATCTAAAAAAAGCAAGCTGTGGAAAATACCATAGTTTTACCAAATAATGTTTCTAAAATCCAAATGTGTTGATATACAGTAACACGTTCAGTATGTGACAGTTATGTACAAGCTACTATGCCGTATGCTACAGAGATTATAGCATAGAGAACCAAAGATACAGGCCTCAACCTCGAGGAGTCCAGTAAAAGAGGTAAGTGTCAAGGAAGAAATGGTATTGGTGAAGATAAAATTACTTCTTGTTGAATGGATCAGGAGAGACCTTAGAGGGCAGTGGCCTGTGAGTTGGATCTTACAGGTGTACTTTCAACATAGAAATAGACACACACAGAACTTTCCTTGGAATGAAAATAATGAGCAAAAGTAGAAAGTAGGAAATTATGGAGCTTGAAGAGAATTACTGAATAGTTCAAGGTATTAACATGTAAAGGGGCAAGGTAGGAAATAAGTTTGGAAAGGTAAAATTCCAGTTTTTAACTTAATAGGTGAAAACAGTTCTGCTTTTTTGTCTTAAAAATTACTTAATATGAGAAATAAATATGAACTCCATCTTTAATGAAACTGGGAAAAATATGAGGGATAGATTACTTAATCTGTAATTCTCACTTAGAGGACAAACAGATTAGTTACCTACAAAAGGAAATTCTAAAAAGAAGTCTATACTTAGGATTCAGTTTAGTTGCCAATTAACAGATACCCAAAATAGAAATGACTGAAACAAGGTAAAAAAAT